AGCAACAGGCTCGAGAACCCTGCTTCCCCAAACTTGGAACCTTGGGGTTCCGGCGTTCCGAGAGGCCCCCTTGGATATCCAAGGAGCATTTGGGGATGGCGCCTTAGTGGGGGTGACCTGGGGGTGGGTTCGGTCCCATGTACGCTGCGGGGATCGGGGCTTGCTCGGATCGGATGCTGGGGCTCCCCTGCGCCACTCTTGGGAAACACTGAAGGGTGGTTTGTGAGGCGGAGTGCCCCCTTTAGGAGAGTTCGCGCTGTCGGTGGGGCATTTGGGTGAGAGACTGATTTTCTGGCTTTTTTTTTTTTGTTTGTTTGTTTGTTTGGATTTTTATAAAAGAATTCTCCGAGTACCTCTGGCAGTCCTGGAGCTCACTCTAGAGACCAGGCTGGCCTTGAACTCAGAGATCTTTTTGCTTCTGCCTCCTGAATGCTGGGATTAAAGGTGTGCACCGCCATGGCCAGCTGAGGCTGTTTTTCTTAATTGTTCTCTAACGTAGAGAAAGACTGAATAAAGTTTTCTTGGAGAGGACATACTAATAACCTTTCTTTTTTTCCCCCCTTAATCTAGATTTTGAGAAGAGGGGGAAAAAGGAGGTTTGTCCTGTCCTGGATCAGTTTCTCTGTCATGTAGCGAAGACCGGAGAAACGATGTAAGTAAGAAGCATGGGTGGATGGGTTCATGGTCACAGGCCTACCTCTCTTTAGAGTTGTTTAGGAAAGTGGGGAAAGAGGATTTCAGAACACTTACATAATAGGTCTGTCAAAATTTGGAGACCCTGGGGATGGGTGAGATAGCCCAATAGGTTAGGTTAGGGTGCCTGCTGCCAGGCTTCAGGACTTGAGTTTCTCGTCTGGATATTCTACATAGGGAGTCCCCACCTAATGGAAGGAGAGAACTGACTCCCAAAAGTTGTCCTCAGACTCGTACACAACAATAAAGAAGTAAATATAATAAAAAAATTGGAGAGGCCTTGAAGATCATAGTAAAGGCAAGATGCCTTCCTGTGTGCTGCATAACAATTGTTACCAATTTATCAAAAGTTTTCTGCATATCTGCCTTGGCACAGGGAGCACCTACTAGTTTGAAAGGACCATAGAAAAGAATGTTTCATTATGGTGTTTCTTTATCATTGCAAACAGGTTTAGTCCCACAATTTTGTAGCTTTGATACTGTTAGGGATTTGTTGTTGACATTTTTTTGTACTGTCCTGTATCCAGCCCTTTGTTGTCATACCAATCCATGATGTTGTTTGAAGTCTAACTTGTATTTATTGCCTTGAGAATTTGGGGGTGATTATTTGACACATTCCAGATGCTGAAGTTGTCACTGTTCTGACTTTCTAGGGTAGCTAACTTATTACACATGCCCAACATCTTACTAGGCTTGTTTCCAAATGTTGTCAATCTGAACTTATACTGTATTATTTCAAAAGGAGAAATCTGCTTTATTGTTCTCTAGTTGATGTGGTAGAAGTTGTTTCACACTGGCTCATTTGCTTTGTTCATGACCGCCTGTTTTTGTACACACTGAGTAGTGTAGGGTGGGGAGCAGGAGAGAGGAAAGGGTATTTTGGGTTCTGAGCTGTCTGCTTAGTTCAGCAAGTGATTATATAGCTTCTCTGTTATTATCATTTTTCAGACATGGTCTCATTCTGTAGCCCTGACTGGATTTGAACAACTCAGTGGTCCTTACTGGCCCTGCCTTCCAGGTGCTGAAATTAAAAGTCTTGGGCAGCCATGCCAGGCAGTTTTTATTTTTTTGAGACAGGATCACACTCTAGCTCAGATGGCTCTAAATTATTAGATAGTCCAGACTGACCTCAAATTTTAGTCAGTCCTATCGAAGCCACCAAGTATTGGGACTATAGATGTGAGCTGCCTCGATCAGCTTTCCTCGTTGTTGTTGTCATCACCATCATCATCATATTGTTGTTCTTATTGTTATGATTGGCACTGGAGCTGGAACCTAGTACCTCATGTGCTAGACAAGAGTCCTGCTACCGAGCTACATTCTCAGCTCCCTTAAAAATTTGAGTTAAGTGGGATGTGGTGGCACATGCCTTTAGTCCCAGTGCAGAGGCAGGTGGATCTCAGTGAGTTCGAGGCCAGCTAGGACTGATACACAGACAAACCCTGGCTTGGGACCCCCCCATTTGAGTTACTGTTAAGTACCTACACTGGCTTTAAATTTAGGTCCTTTCTGCTTTCATCTCTGTAGTGCTGGGATTCATGCAAGCCCCAACTTGTTTAGCTTTCTGTCTTTATTAACAAGTGTTCATTTCTTGCAAGATTTGTTTATGACTGTACTTTCTAATAAGTAGCTAGATTTTTAGGAAGAAAAAATAACTGGCATAGTGCATAATTTGGTAGAGAGTCTCTTCAGTGGTCTATTAAATTATATAAATTCAGGACATGAAGTGGTGGCACACACTTTTAATCCCAGGATTTGGGAGGCAGAGGCAAGGTTTATGTTCAAGTCCAGCCTGGTCTAGAGTGAGATCCCGGACAGTCAGGGCTACACAGAGAAACTCTGTCTTAAAAACTAAAATAAGCAAAAAGATGAAAATATATATCCATCAACTTAATGTGACTAATACTTCTTTGCATGCCAGTTTTAAGAATGGAATCTTTGCTGGGCCTGGCAGTATACATCCTTAATTCCAGCAGAGGGTTAAAGGCAGAGACAGGCAGATCACTATGAGTTGGAGAGTAGCCTGGCCTTACATAATGAATTCCAGGACAGCCGAGGCTATACAGTGAGTCCCTTTCTGCAAAAAAACGGGAATGCTCTAGTGAAAAGAATCATTTACTGGGCTGGAGAGATGGCTCAATGGTTAAGATAACTGGCTGCCCTTCTAGAGTACCCAGTTCTGATTTCTTGCACTCGCTTGTAAGCTCACAATTCTCTGTAACTCCAGTTCCAGGGGATCTGATGTCCTCTTCTGGCCTCCCGAGGGCACAGTACATGATTGTGATACACATTTATACTTGCTGGTAGAACACCCAAAGTGGATGCAAGTCATTAGTTTTACTTATAGAAAAGCCTAAAGATGACTAGATGCCATAATTCAAAAATAAATAAGTTCCTAAGATATCATATTGCTTACATTGCCTCTCTTCCTTGAGTTGTTGACTGGGCTAAGCTATTTCTGAGTCGTCAGAAGAAAAGCATTTTATTTCCTGAAGTTTATTTGAAATACAAGATTATCTTAGTTGGGTGGTGTTGTACATGCTTTTAATCCCAGAACTTGGGAGGCATAGGCAGGTGGATCCCTTAGTTTGAGGCCAGCCTGGTCTACAGCATTAAGTTCCAGGATAGCCAAGGCTATGCAGAAAAACCCTGTTTTGGAAAAAGAAGGGGAGGGGTTTATCTTGGACTGTGATGCTCATCAGTCTGGTCTATACAAACTGCCTTAACTTTTTGATAAGATTGCTCTAGTTAAAAGTTTCTAAAAGGTAACTTTTATATTCTGTGTTTCTTGTCCTTTGTCCTGGATTACCAGATAGCCTGAGAATCTGTCAGACTTTGAATTACCAGATAGCCTGAGAATCTGTCAGACTTTGAATCCTCTACTTAACTACTTTATTTGGATATTGTGTGTTTAGATATTCTGTATTAAAATGATTGGTGCTTTTATATTTATTATATTTTGTGGTTTGGAGTTTTTTCCAAACTAGGTGTAGCCTTTGCTTGCTTGTTTTTCACTGGAACCTGGGTCTTGGCTTATGTTAGTCCCATGCTCAGCCATTGAGTCGTCCCAACTGCAGAACCAGATAGTGATTACTGTTTTCCTGGTGCTGGAGATCACATCCGGACCCTTGTGTGCTAGGCAAGTGCTTCACCACTGAACTACATTCCCATACTGTGGAGCTTTTCAATGAACTTTTTTTTGGTTTTTGGAGACAGGGTTTCTCTGTGTAGCTTTGGAGCCTATCCTGGCACTTGCTCTGGAGACCAGGCTGGCCTGTGCCTCCTGAGTGCTGGGATTAAAGGCGTGCAGCACCACTACCTGGCTAAGAATGTTGTTTTTAATATGTATGGGTGTTTTTGCCCACATATATATCTGTGCACTGTGTGAATGCCATGCCTTCCAGGATCAGAAGACAGTGTGTGATCAGAAGACTGTGAAGTTACAGACTTGTGAGCTGCTTTGTGGTGTTTGGAAATGAATCCAGGTCCTCTGGAAGAGCAATAAGTGCCCTTAACTGCTGAAGCCTTTTAAGATCCAGCCCTAAGAATGCCATTTTTTTTTTTTTTTAAACAAAACGTACCCTATTTGTTGTGTTCACCTACCCACTCCTATTTTGAGATTCCGTCTCACTGTGTGTAGCCACAGCTGTCACTTCATGTGGGTTTGGTTTCTAGACATGATCTCTGTTGTGCCACATTCAGGAGCTCAGTGTGAGCACAAAGTGTTCCCTTCAGATCTTCTCTTCACCCACTGGTGGAATGGCCAAGGGCATTTAATTTTTAACTGCTTCTCCCAAGTTGGGCTGCCATGGTTTTTGGTAGTATTTTATTTTGTGATGATATTTAGTTTAGGGCCTTCCTTGCCTCTGTATTATTTTCTCTTGAGTGGGTTGGTCCTAGTGATGTACAGGTTGTCAGCTTTTCCTCACCCTTTGTGAGGTTTGTTGGGCTTTTTATTTTGTTGTTTAGTCTGGCGGTGCTTTGAGAAATGAACTAAAGCCAACAATACTATTCTTTCTGATTTCCTTTTTTTAAATTAAAAAAAAAAAAACAAATCTTTGCTAGATCAGTGTTGTGTGACAAAACTTTTCTTGGGGAGCAAACACTCCTCTACTCACTCCACGACATGCTAAAGTATTAAATTTGGTGAACCAGTGAGTTTTATTGGGGTTCCTTACGGGTGTAGAGTTATTTACAGGATCAGAAATGCCCATCCCCAACCCCCAAGCATGAATGACAGCTCACAGAATCGGGTAAAACCTGGAGCACCACACATCCTGCAGACAGGGAAACAGGTCTAAACCTTTTCCAGGCAGCTCTGCTGGTATCTGCTGCTTCTAGGCAGTGGTCTGGTCTCCCAGTTGTCTTTGCCACTTTTCTCTGTGAAGCTTAGCTTTTGTTTACTCAGATAGGGAGGGGCCAAGTGAATCTGGTCAGCTTCAGGGAGTTCTTGAATTGTTTATCTCCCTGCTTAAGAAGCTAGCCTGCAGGATGGAATGTTTTAATTATGGAGGAAACTGCTATACAACAACCTTTTAAAACAAGGGTACTAATACTCAAACTATGAAAATAGTATGTAAAACTTAGCACATTGCTTGGTGCTAAATAAATGATACCTGTCAGTAGGGTTTGGGGTGGTGGTGGTGGTGGTGGTGGTGGTGGTGGAGGTGGTCTAGCTGTTGTCCGTGTTAGCCTGGAATTTGCTTTATAGTTTAGGTTGGCTCCAGCTGGCAGTTCTGTCTGACCCTCCTTGTATTTAAATACTTGACATTTCAGGAAGGAAGTAAAGTTAGATAACTTAAAGGTGGTCACAGTACTGAGTGAGGAGGCTGGGTGTTGTTTTGTCTGATGTATACTTGTGTCTAAAATGTCAGCCATATCCTGCTATAGTGAATTTAGTTACCTCCCCCCTTTTAATCTATTAGTAATTACTTAATGTTGGGGCATACTGATTTCTCA